GATATATTTCAGAAAAATATATTATGTTTATATATTAAATATATTTATAAATAATATAAATGTGAATATAAATACACACATGTAAATATTTTCAAAATATATACTGCATGTGTGTGTATTTATATACACACATAATAAATATACACCGTACACACACATATATTATGTAAACGAAAACTTTTATTTTGGATGCGATTAATCGCGATTAATCATTTGACAGCACTAATTATTATTAATATTATCAGGCAACACAAAACTGTTTCTTGATTTGAAACAATATCACATGCAGAAACTATGAAATACATTTTTCTATTAAGATATTTATTTTGTTAAGGAAAATTAATGGCCTTGGAGCAAAAATCTGGCTTTAAACTTGAAAGAAATAAAGATTTGACATTCATCGTGATAATTATCAATATTGATTGATATGAAAGAAATTATCGTGATGATTTTTTTGGCCATATCGCCCAGCCCTACCTGAGGGTGAGTAAATTAATAGCTAATGTTTATTTTTGGGTGAACTGTCCCTTTAAGAGTTTTTTTAGGAGCCGCAGAAACGCTGTGAGAGGAGAGGAAGGGAACGCTGTGAAGTAAAAATGGACATGGAACAGATTGAGAGGAAACTTTGGCACCTTGAGGAAACGGTCCGAGCGCCCAAATGTCACACCCAGGCCGCGCGCCAAACTGGTCCGCGTGTTGCCCAAGAGCGCCAGGTCAGAGCAGGAACTCCTCGGGCTCCAGTCCACACGCAACCTGTCACCTGCCACTGTGTGGGGAAGAGAGGATGAGCGACTCACTACTGCCCCCCACTGCCCTGGAGACCAAACCCTGCTGCAGGACAGCCCTACAATATCTGACCGCTATTATATACAGAAATCATAGAAAATATATATATGATCAATATAAATTATTATAATAAATATTAAATTAATAATATAATATATTAACATTGTTTAATAATACTTTTATTTATTTACTTGCATAAATATAGATATTAAAAAATTAGATAGACACGTATATAAAATATAGATAGATAGGGTGACCAGATGTTATTTTATTTTTTAATTAAGTTAAAAACAAAACTGAGCATTCTCCTATAATACAAATATACACAATACAAATCCGTATTTATTGCACATATTTACTGTAACAATAGTATTTTGGCTCCATAAAATATCTGATTGCTACCGGTATATTGTATAAATAAATATGAATATTATAAATATTATTTAATATATTACCATATAATTAAATATTACAATATTATAATTTTATTTATTTACATAATAAATTATAAAAGAAAAAAGAAAAAAGAAATATTATAAATAAAATATAATGAATATCTTACTACTTATAATATTACAATATTACTTATATTAATACTATATTGCTCCAAAATTTTATGTACATAAAAATATAAAATAAATAACAAATATATATATATTACATATTACATATTACATATATATAAAATATTCTTTCTGTGCAATTTATGTTTAATTTATTCCAGTTTATGTAAAGTTCAAACTCATCTGATCAATAAGAATCAGGGTCATGTGGTCTCCCTAATGCTTCAGATCAAGGGTTTCAGCAGAGGCTTCATCTGACTGCTTTCCACAGCAGAAGAGCTGAAGTGCTTCTCTAAAGCTCTCATGCATCAACATGCAGTCAAGATGCAACATTTATACAACCTACACGGCCAAACACAAAGCAGATCCACAGTGCTGTGCTTTCTCTGAGTGTCTATAACACACACACACGCAGAAATTATCTGGAAAACTCTAAACTGACTGGCTGGCTTGATGCACCTGGTGCATCAGTTTAGTTGGATGAAAAAAAGACCAGCATTCATTCATAAATGACTGTGTCTTTTCTTTCAATTCATGCACCAGGCCTCTCTGACGCGTAATCCTGATCGACTCGCTCACACGGCACACGACTTCACCGATGACATCACTTCCTGTGTGCGTGAGTGGGAATATTTACTTTCATTCATTAACACTTACACGGTGTTGACTACAGGAGTATCATTTCGAAAGGAAAGAACAACTATAGCGTTCAACAACAACAACAAGTTTACAATCTCACCAAACATGTCAAGAACATGTCTGTCATATTTCATCCCATTATAAAGTAGTAAGAAAATATTGTGCATGAGATTTTTTTTTTATGCAGAGAAATTTGCAGAACATTTCATGTATCGTAACTATTTTTGACTTAAACATTTACCTTAACAATGATCACTATTCTAATAAAAAATAAATAAAAAAATATATATAAGTGCAATCAGTCGATTAAATTTTTTTATCTAATTACATGTTTCAATTAATTAATCTAATTAATCACAATCACAAGTAGACATTACAAATTGTAGCTTTAGAAATATTTTATTTGATTCAACAACAAAAAAATTACACAAACATTTAGGCTACAACGGCCTAACAAACTATGGAACATAAAAGAAGATAATTTGAGAAACATCTCAGTATTGTTTGTTCATACAATGAAAGTCAAACAGCTTTGTTACAAACAGTCTTCAAAATACCTTCCTTTATGTTCCACAAAAGAAAGGTTTGAAATGACATGAGGGACGTGAGAGTAAATTATGACAGAATTAAAATTTTTTGGGTGAACTATCCCTTTAATGTTTTTATTATTATTATTATTAAACGATACTCTAAATAAGAAACTAAATCTGCCAGGAGGTGGCGGTAAATGTCTTAATTCGATTCGTTCGAACAGCTGATTCATTCAGGAATGAAGTAAACGGCTCTCTTTATGAATGGGCTTTGAATCATTGATTCACTCGATTCGTTCAGAACGCGGATTCATTCAGAAACTAAACACCGCTGTGTTGCTCGAAGACACACAACAATTCTGTTATGGCTTTAAAGGGAATATATTCTTTGCATAATTGAGCAAAAACACATAATATCGTGTTTAAAACATAACACAATATCAACTTCTTATTTACTGAACTGTTGTATAAAATCACATTTAAACTCGTGATATTCGGGACAAAATCAGCACTCGTGTAATACTGCTTTACCTGCTCGTGTGATATAAATGAGACAAAAACACATACAGGGGCATTTTT